AGCAAGCCAAGCCTAAGCGGAGCCAGCAGAGCCGTCCTCGGTCACGTCGCGGAAGGCTCAGGAGCCTGCCAAACCTCTCGGTCCACTCGGCACCCTGCCACGAGGGGCTGACTCACAGCTGAGCACAGCCCCGGCCGCACGGGCGCCGAGCGGAGCGGTCGGAGCTCTTCACTGGAGAGCACGTTCCTGGTTAGCATCTCTTTAGCCACACGCAGCGACAGCGGGGAGGGAAGCAGGGCCGCGCAGGCTGAACAGCACGCTGCCTTTTCACCCGGGCCCAGAAACCTGAAAAGCTCGCAGGGAGCAGAACGTGTTTTATCCCGTCTCCCTAAGGGGTGCGTGGGGGGTGGGCTGAGTCCTTTCCCCAGGAATCCTCCACCGCAGCTTATTTTTAACACTTGATTCTCCCCTCTCCCTTGCCCCAGCTTCTCCAGCGAGCATCGTATCGGAAGCGTGAGCAACGTTCCCTTAAAGCCCGTCCTGCGAGGCAGCGGGGCTCCAGAGCGCGGAGGCCGAGGGAGCCTCGGGGAGCGGCGCGTCCCTAGCCCGGTTCATGGGGGTAGGACCGCAATCCCTCCTCTACCGCGGCACTCCCAAACTTCCCGCTTCCCATCCCGGCAAGCGGAACGCTTCGTCTTTCCTTCATCTGTGTGTAGATCACATATACTGGAAACAAAACACACACTACGCATGCAATCCAGGCAGCAATCCTGCTATGATCCAATCTACGGGGAGAGGGGAACGTAGCGGGGACATTAAAGTATTCCTTAATGCTAGGTTACAGACCGCGTTAAACACCGGCACCCTTTATTATAAAAAAGGGCAGACAGACTATATACAGTACCTATGTACTTCATCGCAGCAGGGCACAGCAAGCAACCCGGACACCTAAACACCCCTCATTCGGAACACGGTATGAAGTGCCCGCTCAAAAAAAGCTATCCGTTCCTCCGCGATTTACCCGCCGAGACGAGCCCGGGTGAGGGCAGATCCCGCTTCGGCGGCAAGAAGCGCAGAGACCTGCGCGTCGGCGGCTCTCG